TGAAAAATTAGGACATTATTCAAGTTACTTAATAATGTCTGGATTCTGTAAGTCAGGCCTCAAATGGGCCTGAATTTGGTCTAAATGTAAACCGGATCAAGCTCCATCAGGCGGCTGTAATCCGGACCAAATTTCGGGGGCATTAGATCCACGCCCGAAATTTTAAAAATCTGAAAATCAGGCAGCACCATGGTTAATTATGTGGTAGCTGACCAGAGCTTACAATCCAGCTGCCATATTAAAAAAATATAAAGGGACACTATAGGCACCCTGATCAATTCAGCTCATTTGACTGCCTTGGGCGGCACTTTGCAGTGGGCGGCAAAACAATCCCTTGTTTGCCTTGTGTCCTGGGGGGCTCAAGAGCCGGCCACTTTTGAGCCCCCACAAGGTGGGCAGCGGGCAGCGGGCAGCAGGCTGCGAGGGAGCATGCTCACTTGAGCTTAATGATGCTCCCGGCATCATTAAGCGGCACGCGAGGGAGCTAAGCAGGAAAATCAGAGCTCCCTCGCCACCTAATCAGCCTGTCCGCCCCCTGCCTGCCCGTGCAGCAGCCCCACTGGAACGCAGGTAAGTAATCCACTCCAGCTCTCCTAGGAAGGCTGGGTGGATTTAAATAAAAAAATTTAAAAAATAATAAGAAGAAGAATTTGTGAGTGTTGGGGGAAATGTGTATGTGTGTGTCTGTAAGTGTGTGTGTCTAAGTGAGTGTGTGTCTAAGTGTGTGTGTGTGTCTGTAAGTGTGTGTGTCTGTAAGTGTGTGTGTCTAAGTGAATGTGTGTGTGTGTATGTCTGTACGTGTGTGTGTGTCTAAGTGAATGTGTGTGTGTCTGTAAGTGTGTGTGTGTCTGTAAGTGCGTGTGTCTAAGTGTGTCTGTAAGTGTGTGTGTTTGTGAGTGAATGTGTGTGTGTCTGTCAGTGAATGTGTATGTGTTGGTCAGTGAGTGCATGCGTCTGTCAGTGAGTGCGTCTGACAGAGTGTGAATCTGTCAGAGTGCGCATCTGTCAGAGTCTGCATCTGTCAATGAGTGTGAGTCTGTCAGTGAGTGTCCGAGTAATAATGTTTGTCTGTCTATCAGTGTGTTGCAAATCAGTAGTATGTCATTGTTTGTCAGTGTATATGAGAGTGTGCGTCTGTCAGTGAGTGAGCGTCTGTCAGTCAAAGTGCGGTGTTGACATGAAGGATGGGGAAAATTTTAGGTGGGTAGCCCGAGCACCGTCCTGCCTAGGGTAGCACAAATCCAAAATACACCACTGGGTCTGGGTGCAGTTTTCCATGTCTGTTCACCCAGTGTCACCCAAAACCCCATAAGAATGCATTATACAATGCGTTTGTAATGGCAAAGTCATAATGCGAGCGTGGTGCTCACCGTGCACGCACATTATGTCCCCCTGCAGTCTAACATCGGCAGGGGAGGAGCGGAGGCAGAGCCTGAAACAGACGCTGGAATCAGGTAAGTGACAGATGGGGGGGCGGGGGGAACGAGGGAGGAGGCACTATAGAGAGCTACAGGGACCGGAAAACAACTTTGTTTTCATGGAACTATAGTTTCCATTTAACCCCTTAAGGACCAAACTTCTGGAATAAAAGGGAATCATGACATGTCACACGTGTCAAGTCCTTAAGGGGTTAAACATTTAAAAATAATAAGAAATAAAAAGCCTATATACCAATAAAAAGCCCATGTATCTTATTCACCCCAGCCTGTCCATGTGTCTCATTCCCTCCCTTCAGCCGCTCCATGTGTATCATCTACCCCAGGCTCCCTATGTGTCTCATTCCCTTCCCCCTAACCCCTGCATGTCTTAATCCCTCCTCCCTCCCCTCCATGTGTCTCATTTCCCCCATCCTGTTCATAGGTCTCATCCCCCCAGCCCCTCCACGTGTCTCAATACCCCCCAATTCCCTTCATGTGTCTCATCCCCCCAAAGCCCCTCCATGTTTATCATTTTTTCGCAATCCCCTATATGTGTCAATTGCACCCCCCCTCCAAGCCCCTCCATGTATCCCAGTCCCCCCAGCCCCTTAAGGTGTCCCATTCCCTATAGCATGGTAATTACAATGGTTGCTTATAAGAACAATGTAAATATGATGTTACATCATGGGCGGTTTGCAAATATCTCTATTATGTCCTCATTGCTGGAACAAAAAGAGGGTGGTGGTGAAGGATTGAGGGGAAACTGAAGGAACTGCTGTAGACTTCTAATTTTTCTCAATATTTTTTTTTTGTTGCGACGAGAATACTTGTGAGGCATAGATATAGTGTTGTGAAGCATATCCAGGAGGTGCACCTGGAGATCCAGAGGCAGGTTCATGCCCGGGGTTTTTACAAAGGAGGGACTGGATTTCCACCCAGATGCCCTGTAGTTTGTGACACAAACAGACTATCAGAATCAGAATATTTTTCCACTTTGCATCACAGCACATTTCAGAGTTGATTGGGTAGATGTGTCATAAGCCAGTGTTGTACATACTGCGGTTGCAGGGGTCGCAGCTGTGACTGGGACCATCACTTCAGGGGGCCGGCCACCCTGAGGACCCCTGCAACCGGGTGCCGGACACCATGTGTTGAGGCCCTGGCCTGTGCAGCAAACCTCCAGGGCCACACGTTCAGGGGGCCAACAGGTGGCCCATGCTGTTAGGGCCACCAGATAGCTATGGATATCCAGGGGGCTTGGCCAGCGCTGCACCTAAAAGGTAGGTAACTCTGACTCCCATCAGCCTGAGCCACCACGGGACCCCAGGGAAAGTCACCCTCCTGCACCTAAAAGGTAGGAAACAGGAGGGTGACTTAAACATTTTGTATATGTGTGTGTTTGTTTGTATGTATATGTGTATGTGTTTGTGTGTCTGTCTGTCTGTCTGTCTATATGTATGTATGTATGTACTGTCTGTGTGTGTCTGTGTGTATGTGTCTATCTGTATGTATGTGTCTGTATGTATGTGTCTGTATGTATGTGTCGGTGTGTATGTGTTTGTGTGTCTGTATGTGTCTCTGTATGTGTGTGTCTGTATGTGTATGTGTGTCTGTCGGGGGGGGGGAGGGGAGTTGCGCACCAGGGCCCCCGTTGATTGTGTGTATGCCACTGTCATAGGCATTTGGGGAATTGGATGAGGATAGGTGGAAAGGTAGAGGGGGGCAAAGAACACAAAACACATAAAATACAAAAGTATATACAGTACTGGCTAATGTAGCTTTGCTAATTTGTGTGAGAGAAATGAAGTGTGATAAAATTATAGTGCATTCACAAAGGGGGTGGTCCACAGTTGTACTGGTTTTGGCCATATTATAGCAAATGTACATGTGGTTAGATGTACTGGTAAACAGAATAGCATAATTTTCTCTTTTCTTTTTTTTTTTTTACCAAAATTGAAATTATTTATTTATTTATTTATTTATTTAATGCAAGTGTTACATGAACATGGTATTTGTAGTTAGGAACGTAGAGCATGTTAACTCTGGATAAAATAGTATACTCCTGAAATAAAAGTGAAAGTGTAGGCTGCATGTGTTAATATGGAGGAAGGAACTACAAAACAACGTTTTAGCCCTTTAGGGCTTTTATCAAGCTTGATAAAAGCCCTAAAGGACTGAAATGTTGCTGTGTAGTTCCTGGTTCAAATAAACTGCCTTAATTTTGGAACCTGTTGGAGTTCCTGGATCATTCTCTATATTTACTTATCTTTGGTCCTTTCTGGGTACTGGGACTTTCCATGGAGCACGCTGGATTCCACAACGAAGGGTTGAGTGCACTTCCATTTATATTAATATGGAGGAAGGAACATCTTTGTGGGTGTCCTGGCAATAGCTCTTTATTTGTCCCCTTCTAGTTGAGGTACCGACTTTCTTTCACAGTGGAGATATCCTCATGTGCTGAAGGGACTAGATGTCTGACACATGCACTGCAGAGGTGAAGTTCTAGGAATGCACAAATGTTGTGGCTCCATTTCTCCAGATCAATAGTTTAGGGGGATATCTCAAATGTTAATTGATGGTGTTCTTGTGGAGGAGGCTGGTAACCTGGGTAAATTCTTTGCATTGCTGATAAGTCTATGATCAGTGCGAGGCATACACAAGGCTCTGTCATAAAAAGCACTTTCCATGTAATTTGCATTAGGGCTTCTTCGGCTTTATAATAATGTAGTTGCACTGCTACGATCATGAGTGCTCCACCTAGGATTGATGAGATGGTGGGCCCTGTCTAAAAAGCCAGTCACTGTCTGTTAGGGTGGGCCATAATGATTTGAAGAGGGAGATCAGGTTAGTAAAATTGGGTTGTCAACTCTGGTATATTGGAACCTGATGTTATTTTGCAAAGTTTAGAGAGTTTAGAGAGAGGCTTATCATGCTCTGAGGTCGGGTACTGTACCCTGTCTACTACCTCATTGTGAGCAGTACACAGAAATCTGCCAAATCTGTCCTGTATCATAGTGTGGATTTTATTTTTCGAAGCCATGGAGATCTTCGATAGATGTGCCATGAGCTCAGTTTCAGAGGCCATGTCTGATGAGAGCAACGGCGCTTCATGGTATCTGCCATCAAGTGGCCATGTTGTGTTTCTCCTTATGCACTGCTCTTGGCATTTTCTGCATCTTGGAAGCTCTGGTTTGTTTAGAAGGAGACAACTTATAAATAGTTGTGAGAAAGTGATGCTATATTTTGAAAATCAGGCTGTTGAAAATTAGGTGTGGGAACACTCAGCCCACACACATCTGCTCTCTATGCAGGTCAGGACAGTCAGTGATTTTCATCAGAGTTTGTCCTTTCAAACAAAGCATGATGTTTAGGGAACAAGGCTATAAACCATTCTGGCTTATGTTAACATTGTCAATTCCATCTCAAATAACAATTAATTGTTTTGTGGATATACCTCTTAATTTTCTATTTATCTGAACTTAATAGGTGATTTGTGTTTCTGATCGTAAATAATTTTTATTGTATTTACCTGCTTTATAACTAGTTGAAAATAGAGAAGCAGTGAAGAGCCAGGGGGTCAGCATGGCCTGCACTTGTCCTTTGATAACAGTGTACTCTGAAAAGGGAGAAGTATCGGGCAAAAATGTTACCTTGCCTACTGTATTCAGGGCACCCATTCGTCCTGATATAGTCCACTTTGTACACACCAACCTGCGCAAGAATAACAGGCAGCCTTATGCTGTGAGCAAGCTTACTGGTCATCAGACTAGTGCTGACGCATGGGGAACTGGTCGGGTTGTGGCTCGTAATCCTTGTGTCCGCGGAGGCGGAACTCACCATTCTGGCCAGGGTGCCATCGGAAATATGTGTCGTGGAGGACGTATGTTTGCAACCACCCAAGACCTGGAGAAGATGGCATCGCAGAGTTAATATTACTCTGAAGCGTCATGCCATTTGCTCTGCTCTTCCAGCTTCAGCCCTCCCTGCCTTTGTTCTGTCTAATGGACACCGCATTGAGGAGATCCCAGAGGTACCCCTAGTTGTTGAATACAAAGTTGAAAACTACAAAAAGACAAAGGAGGCAGTGCTCCTTCTAAAAAAAATAAAGGCCTGGAATGACATCAAGAAGGTGTATGCATCCCAGTGAATGCGTACTGGTAAGGGTAAGATGAGGAACAGACGCCGCATCCAGCGCAGAGGGCCCTGCGTTATCTATAACGAAGACATAGGCATTATTAAAGTCATCAGAAACATCCCAGGGATCACTCTCCTCAGCATAAGCAAACTGAATGTCTTGTGGTTGGCTCCTGGTGGCCATGTTGGCAGATTCTGCATCTGGACAGAAAGTGCCTTCCGCAAGCTGGATGATCTGTATGGCACATGGCGCAAGGCAGCTGTTCTAAAGGCTGATTACAACCTCCCTATGCACAAAATGACAAACACAGATCTGAGCAGAATCCTGACGAGCCAAGATATTCAGAAAGCTCTACATGCTCCAATCAAAAAGGTGAAGCGCAGCGAACTCAAGAAAAACCAACTGAAGAACTTGAAAATCATGATGAGACTGAACCCATATGCCAAAACAGCAAAACGCAATGCTATTCTACGCCAGGCGGCAAAGGAGACAAAAACTGTAAAAAAGGTGGTGAGGAAGAGGCAGATCAAAAAGAAGTCTGTGAAGGAGGAGGTGGCTGCCAAGTAATCCTGTGGATTCATTAGCGTTCAACTGGCAGCATGCTGTATTAACTCCTAATAAATTCTACTTAAAATAAAAAAATAGAAAAACAGTAAATTAATGCCCAAATAAATATTGAGTCTTTAGACTTCCAATAGATGGCGCTGCTTCAAATTATCTGTTATTTATTTAACCCCTTAAGGACACATGACATGTGTGACATGTCATGATTCCCTTTTATTCCAGAAGTTTGGTCCTTAAGGGGTTACTGGAGTATTGCATTATCTTGTATTACTTCATCTTTACTGATTACTAGATTATGTAGATTTTTATTTATTTTAAAAGCTTTGATGCTTTTTTTATTCAAGGATATAATTTATATGTATGTGAACATGTTGTTGATCCAAGGAGAAATCTGATTGTCATTATGGAGTTAAGATGGAATATTGTCCATTTTTGTGGTATTATTGGAAATGGTGACAGCTGGGCCATTTGCCTTCTTTTGGATCATCAGTTAAAAAGAATGGGTTTCAATGGTGAACTTAATGGAAATGTATCAAACCAGGCAACTATGTAACTACAGGGATTAGCTAATGGAAGTATTTGCTGGCAGCTTCCAGTTCTCTTGTTGAGAAGGGGAGCAGTGCCTGTTTGCATTAAGGTAAGAAGTCAAACTGTTCAAAAACAATTTTGCTACTTAGAATGTTTGTTTTTTCAGGACACTTTATAACCACTGCATTAAGCTGTACTGGTTATAATATTTGGAGTGTTCTTTTAAAGGGACACTATAAGCACCAAAACTACTGTATTATAATGAAGGGGTTTTGGTTTATAGAGTATGTCTCTATGTCGCAGAGTCATTGTATAATTATCTGCATTTAGTCTATAGGAGACACTAGAAGCCTCCTCAGTGTCATAAAAGGGACACTATAGTCACCAGAACAAATACAGCTTAATGCAGTTCTTCTGGTGAGTATAATAGCTCCCTTCAGGCATTTTGCAGTAAACACTGTCTTTTCAGAGAAAAGGCAGTGTTTACATTACAGCCTAGGGGCACCTGCACTGGCCACTCCTCAGATGTCTAGAGGTGCTTCCTGGGGCAGTGCTGCACAAGAATGATATTGTTTTGCACACACTATTAATTAATTTAAAAACCTACATTTATAGTACCTTAAATCAAACATAGATCCATTTAAATCACAGTACTTCATATCACTAAATTACATTATGAAATATATATTTATATATATATTAAAATACATTTAAAAATATATATATATATTTTACCCTTAGGTAAACAATAATAACATCTGCTGGCATATTCAGCTTGAAAAAGAACAATGTTTATTTATGGTTGGGTGGGTTCTAGTCCATTTAAATTCCAGTGTTGTTATCGTGCATGACAAGTAAAATGTGGTTGATTTGGTCATCAAGAACACTAGACCATGATTAAGAAGATTAGACAGCATTTCAAGAGGATACATTGTAATTGATGATGAATAATACAATATACTTGAATGCATTTCAAGTGTTTTATGTATTATGTTACTTTTTCTTTATTGTTTTGTTCAAGAACACACTAAACTATTGCAGGAAATCAAAGTGAAAGCAAGCAATACTTATATGAACTGCTACAATATGTTTAGCAATCTTACAATTATTTCATTGATGGTTAGTTTAATTATATATAATTTCATGTATAGGACTACTTTTGGTATGTTTCCATATTTGAGGACCTGGCAGTTAAGTAGGATTTCTATAACTTTCTAGGATACAGTAGAGTTAAATCACCAACGGCGTTTGTCATTAGACTAGAATTTCGGCTGAACCATTCAGAACCTTTCACACTCAATTGATGGTTCATGAGGGTCACAATGTCCATGAACAAACAAAGTGTGAAAATAGGCCAATCAATGTATTGAAGAATATATAATCAACATAATTATTGTTTCAAACACACAGAAAGGTGGTTAAAATGTGCTTATTAGTGATGTACAATAGCTACTGAAAACACTCAATTGAGCACTCCACAAACCCAACAATTGAATAAAAACACAAACAGAATAAAACTCAGTGTTTAGGTGAAATACCCACCACCTAAAACAACCTAGTGGGAGTGCAGAGCTATAAAAGTGAACTTAAATTGACTTACCCCTCAACAAATGTAGGGGGATCAAGTTGTATATAGAAAATAGGAGGAAGTAAAAACACTAATAGTGTAACACTGATAAAAAAAACTAAATGGATTGGTGTGATATGTATTGTATCCAAACTCACATTTTCCAGAGCCTTTTCAGATAAAGGCTCTAAACATCACACTCGTGTGCACTTCCCAGGTGACAACCAGACCTTTAAACTCTTTTCAAAGGAGTTTACAGATTTTGGTGTCCACAACCGAAAAGAGATTAACAGTGATATAATCTTGGTGTAATATTTTGCATTTACATTGATAATAATAATTACAAATCTTTAGGCAAACTGTATTTTGTAGTACACTGATAGGTGCATTTTCCCACCATTTGGTTCTGTCACGATTGGTAGGGAACCTAACACACAGACAGGACATAACAGACAGATTTCCAATACCGGTCCTTAGAATGGCTGGGCTATGCAAAAGAATAGTCAAAGTAAGCCAAGGTCAAAGTGAAACAGAGAGATGGAATATGAAGAGACAAGCCGAGGTCAGGGAGCAGAGAAAACAGAGTAAACGTAAGACAAGCCAAAGTTCGGTTACCAATTAATCAGAGAGAGTATAACGCGCTTTTGGCTAAACAAAGACCACAACAGGACACTGAGGCAAGGGGGAGGTTAGCTTATATACACACAGGGTGTGTCTGATTGGCTAACCTCCAATTAGTGTTAACCACAACACTTGGGCGTAGTTTCTTCCTTCCCTTGTGGTCTTCGAGGTCATCACTGTGTGCTGGGTCACACGGACATGCAAATAGAAGCAAATGGATATGCTCATCCATTGTGCTAGTTGTTTGCGCAGTCTCATGACTGTATGGCATTTTGTAGAAACAGAATTCAGAAGAACCACCAATCAACCTAATTCACACAAATTTAAATTCAGTCGAAACCGAATGCATACGTTTGTTTGTCATCTGTTATATGCTGAAATAGAGAAGGTAAATTATGTCACAAGGTAACCACTTTCTTCTGGATGTAAGATTTGTGATCGGGAGGTTACAGCAGAAGATCCATAGTAACTCATAGCTGCAGTGGTTAAATATTTGCAGTGATCACTGGTAACAAGTAGTTCTGACTGCAAAATACAAAAAATATGTATTACTTTTTCACAAATCACAAATACAAAAAATATATATTACTTTTGATAATGTATATTAAGCAGAAATTAATAAATGGACTTTTAAATATATGTTATAGTTCTAGAATAAATGCAATTTCACATGCCAATGTAATTTCATAAAGTTATTCAACCATTTTAAAATGTATGTTAAAGTCCTTCCATAACAATATAATATATAGCAGGAATCAAAATCTGAAGTCCTATGCTACTCAAAGGCCTAATAGGTATTTACCAGAGATGTCACTGCAAGCCGTGGGGTAGTTACTAAGTTTGCATGTTTACTCACCAATGGCTAGTGGGCAAATGGAAGGGTTGAGCCTTGATATAAGCTATAACATTGATAAAAGTTATTACAAAGCAAATCCAAAGAAAATCTACATTAAAGCTTTATCTTACTTTCTATGCTTGTTCCACTGTCTGACACTTCACAATCTATCTGGCAGAGCAGAAAGAGAGGCTCCCTATTGGCCAAGCTACTTTCTAGTATAGCTCTTTTATCATTTTGAATTTGTTGTGTTTTCTAAAACCACATTGTGGGTCAGTTGATTAATGCATTTCTTTCTACAGGTCACTGTATCCAAATCATAATTACCTACCATGTACTGCAGAAGTAGAGAATACGACCATAATAAATAAATAAATAAAAAATATGGTCAATTCCAGCTTAGAATTCTTGTTTATATACATAAAAAGGTGACAAGTATTCAGTAGGTGTCAAAACATGTAGGCATTTTAAAAAGGTCTAACTTAAATCTTCTTTAAACTATTTTTGACTTACGGTTGACAACCATATTGACTTTAACATAAAAGATTTAAAAAAAATACATGAAAAACAAATGCTTTTTTAAGTGCTTCTCTTACAAAAAGTACAATTTCTCACATTTCGTTCATTTTCTTTTATTTTGATAAATTAAATATGAATGTCTGAATAGCTTCAAGCATGCTCCCAGACAAGAATGTACTTTTCATTCGCATTATCAAAAACCTTGCTGAAGTTAGCTTTTGTATCAATGAAGAAAATAATAAAAATAAGAGAATATTATTGAGAAAAACTTCCACTTTTTTTTCAAAATGTCCCTTTACCGCTAGTTTAAATATTCTCAATGAGTAATTCTGTAAGAATAATTGCAATATAATACACCTAATAGATCTGTATTGACACAGGAACTCTAAAATGCAAAATTTAGAAATCAATTAAGAATTGAATGAATAAGTCTACAAGATGCATAGTCTTAACATCAGCAAAATAATATTTTCTATAATTAAATCATGATATGGAAAAGACTCAAAGGAATGCTATATTTTATATAAAGGACCAATTAACTATACAATATTTTCTTAACATAGCTATACCTATTAAGAAACCAGTTTGAGTTCTTGTTCTGCAACAGCTGTAGTGGTGTACTTGCTGTTCTGAGTTTACATTGACATAAAATTAGCTTATCAGCAATAAAGTATTGCTCACTACCAATTTGTGGTCCTAATATAAGCTCCAACGTTACAGGAATATAAGATCCTGTAAGAGCAATCCAATATTGTGTTCTGTGGAAGATCTCCTTTATATAAACATTCCCTATAGTAGTGTCTACTGTTCAGAAATAAGATTATTTTATAAAGAGTGGGTTGTGATGAACTGGCAGCTATATTGTAAAATCTGAATCCAAATATCCAAAATGTAGAAACATCTCAGTTGAGATATTTAATTTCAAGCTATTCC